CCCGCTGAGCAGGGAGCCCGATGCGGGACTCGATCCTGGGACTCCAGGATCATGACCTAAGCCGAAGGCAGTCGCTTAACCAACTGAGCCACCCAAGCGCCCCTCAAATGGGAATTTCATAAATGACTCCCACTGAGCAAATCTAGAGTGTCTAATGGAATGTGTCCCCCACCCCCAGATTCCTATGTTGAAGTCCTAACCCCCAGGAGACCTCAGAATGTGACCCTATTTGGAGGCAGGATCTTTAAAGAGGATATTAAGGCTAAATGAGGTCATGGGGTGGGCCCTAATCCAATATGGCTGGTGTCCTTGTAAGAAGAGGGAGAGCCATCAGGGTGCAGGCGCACAGAGAAAAGACTGCCTGAGGGCACAGGGACCACATGGCCACCTGCAAGCCACGGAAAGAGGTCTGAGGAGAAGCCAAACCTGCCACGACCTTGACCTTGGACTTCAGCCTCCAGAACTGTGAGAAAGTAAGTTTCTGTTGTTTAAGGCCTCAGTCTGTGGTATTTGGTTAGAGCAAACTAATGCAGAATACTTTCTAACCTTTCTTGAAAACATTTCTGGGGCCCACAGGATGAGGCCGCTCGGGCCTCCACTGAGCCAGGCTCTGCCCAGCGCTCCTGTGGCCTGTGGGGTTCCATTCTGAACACACTGGGTGGGAAGCGGGGGCTCAGAGGAAAACCACTGCAGCGAGAAGAACGGGGCCTGTAGAGGAGGCCTTTCGGTGGGGGTGGGGGGAATGGTCCTAGCAGACCACTGATCATGTGGGAAATTGTGTTGAGAGGCTGTTGATGGTATAGATGAATGGTAACAGGAATAAGAAAATTAAGCAAATTTTAAAAACGAGATAGTTAACTTCTGAAAAAAGTACAGTTATACAATAGAGAAAACGCACTCAACTACTTGGTTTGGGGGTGAACAATATTTATGTGGTCATAAACAATGCAATTTAAATAATTAAGTAACCCCAAATTATGATAAATCTGTGCCTGGAATGGAGGTGGGGAGTAAGAAAGGGAAGCAGCGAAGTGCTAGCTCCTCCTATCTGTTGTAATAGAAAATCAGAAGGTAATCTCTAAAATGGATGAGTGAATATAAAACTGCTTAAAAATATTATTTTGAAATACGAAGGTAAAAACGAGAAGAAATTACTTCTGGGAAGCGGAACTGGAGAAAAGGCAGGGATTGATGTTTTTCAGTTCAAACCCCCCTTTCTGTACTATTTGACTTTTTAAGCCATGTGCTTTTATTATTTGATTAAAAAACCATACTTAAATAAAAATTATGTTTAGGTACGGGTACATCATTCCTTCCATCACTTTCTTAAGGCTTACACTACCTCTTTTTTGTTTGCCCATTTTCCCCCAATCTTTTCAATAAATCTGATGAAGCTGTAAGAGAAGGGGGTATCAAGGGAAATCGATGCTAATCAGAAGGTTTTCATCCTTGGATTAAAAGCCATCTGGAAAAGAAAACTAGTGAGATAAACTCCTCACTACAAGTGAAAGGTCACCTAACCCCAGGAGGGCTTCTTCCCGTTTCGTAGAGATGTACAAGTCAAGCCCCATTTAAGGTTGAACCGATCTCCAAAATCTGCAGTTTCTAGAAACCACTTTTGTCAATGAACATTATCCCTATCATACTGATAGTCTGAAAAAATGTTAGAGCACCAAGACCCATTGACATTTTACCTGTAGAGGTCTGTACCTGTAGAGGTCTGCACCTGCAGAGGTCTGTGTTCACAGCAGCTTACTAACAAGTGTGCTTCTCATTTTCAAAAGTACCGTTTTGTCTACACTATACACACACACACTCACATATTACATACAGATGAAAAACTGAGTAAAATCAATCCTTCAAGAGTACTGAATCTGTCCCCTTTCACTTCCCTACCTTCAATTTTATTTATATATTCAACCATTATCAACTACCTATTAGGCATCCTCCATAAGAAAGGCTCTATCAGGCTTCATGAAAATATGAAGTCATGACCCCTGTCTTCAAGTTCAGTGGAGTTAGAACACAGTGGATCATCACTAAGACGTTTGCCTGCCTTCCACTCTGCAAAATACTCCGGTGGAATGAGGATTTGGGATATCTGAAGTTTATAAATTGATTCAGAATGAAGACCTTCTCTTATAGTGTGCATTCTTGTAAAGCATCCAGTGCCAACATTTTATAAGAAGAGTATCAAGCTTTGCCCTTATCCAGGGAATAGGTCACGTAAAATAGAGGCTGTGAACAAGATTATGGGGTTACCCCAGAATGACTTAGGAGTACATCTCAGAAACTGTCTAGACCAAGAGAAAGGGAGAAACAGTTTCAACACAGAGAATTTTTCACTGGTAAATAGCAGAAAACACTAGAATCTCAAGAGATGTTTACAAACACTGAAAAGGTATTAAGAGTTAGCATCTTAGGGAATTGTATGAAGTAGAAGTGTCAAATTCACATGAATAAAATCAGTTTTTTTAAATAAGATACTGGCAGGCTAAAATAATCTTTTGTCTGTCAACTGAACTAAAAATGTTTTTGATGAAACAGTCATCTTAGTCTGGAACAGTTTCACTGATGGAAGGAATGACAGCTAAGGCTGGATTCATTTGACTAAACAGTCGTATTTTATATAGTTGCTTAGCAAATAAAAGTTGAAATGAGCAAGAACATAAAATGCAATTATCTTCAGACCAATCAATTAAAAACAAGAAGACATCGCACTAGGAATTTATGAGTAAACAGGAGACACAAAGTTGGAGAGCAGAAGGCAGGAGAACCAACGTCAGCGACCCAGCGATAACGGCTCTCTCTTCTGGAGCCCTACCATGTGCAGGCACAGCGCTAACTGCTTGCCACTCAGGACGGCACCGCTGTCAGGCAGGGGCGTGGACTCTGGAGCCAGACTGGAGCCAAAAACCAGACCTACCACCCACTGGGGACACTGGGCAAGCTCCTCATGTCACCGTGCCTCTGTTCCTTCATCTGTAAGATGCCGATGAAAACAGCACCGACCTCCCAGGACCCGTGTGAGAAGCCAGTGAGTCAGTACATGGACCGTGCGGAGAACACTGCCAGGCACGCAGTCAGTGCCACGAAAGTGTCAGCTGCTCTTGTGATTCTTAAACTAGTCACGTGGCGGCTCAAACCCCGGGGCCAACGTTCCACTCGGACACGTGACGGATATACACTAAAAGGGACCCTCCTGAGAATGAGTTAATCAGTGACACAGTGCTGTTTCTTGAGGAAAAAAAACAACAAGACAAGACAAAGCCACGAATGCATGAGAACTCATTGGCAACCACCAGGGAGGAGTGGGGCTCGCCGGCAGGATCAGGTGGAGAAACCCATCCGGGCGAGGGACCGCTGGGCAGCGGGCAGGGCGCTGCGTGGGCGACACGAGACCCGGGCTAAGATACAGCTCCAGCGGTGCCTCAGCCTGGCTGCCTGACCCCTGGGGTCTGCACTTCCTCACGGCCCCGTACAGGGCCCGGAGGCGCCTTCTCGTGCTGACATCCCACGGTACTACGGCCCAACAGAATTGCAAATAGGCACCTTCCATAAAACGTAGGTGTTGCTATTAATTTTTTCAAACAGCTACCTGTACTTTAGTAGATACATCATCTAGAATGGACTCGTAATTATAATCTGGGGGACGGGGAGCAGTTGCAAAAGAATGAAATAAATGGCAAAGAGAAGCAATCCTGTGGTACATTTTTTCAATGCCATTAAAATATAAACAGGTTAACCTAAGAGATAAAACAAGCATAACTTTAATACCAATGTAGTATTACATTTCTCATGTACATGGTTAATAAATACTGTTTTCAGTTTTATAAACAAGTTGAGGAATGACACAATTTACCTTTTTGCCCATGACGGCTGCTGAATTTGTCTCCAATCTCTGGACGCCTGGTCTGTCTCAGCAGCATTTTGATCAGAAAAGCATCTTCAGCATTTGAAGAGATCATCACTTTTTCAATATATGAATCCGTTGCCCCTTTGTAGCTAATATTAAGAGGAAGTCACCAAAAAGTTTTCAAACTGCCCTTTGTGAACCTATCGCTCACAGGCCATATTTTATTTAATATCAACCACAGAATGTTTTGACACTGCCATTCTGGACTCTGAAACGTGCTTTTTGTTTTTCAACATTAAATTCAAAGGTTACAATTTCCCTTTTACAGTCCTAGTCTGAAATGGCTAACATTAACTAAACACTTATTATGAGGCAGGCATAAGGCAATGTAACCCACACCACACGTATTATTCACACGCAGCTACTCCCTTATTGCAAACAAGGAAATGGGATGTTTGGAGAGCGAGAGTGGCAGCTTGGAAGGATCACAGAGCCCCAAGGAAGGTTTCATTTTCTTTTTAGGATAAGAAATATGTGAGCACACTTTCTAACCTTGTTTTGTAGGATTGGGTGCATGGGTCCTAACCCCTCCCCTAGGTGGAGGGCCCACTTTCTCCCCTGCGCTCCCACTCCATAGACAAATCCATGGCACCCAGTCAGTTCAAAGCCTGACTGCCACTTGTAGCTGTGTGACCTTGGTAAATTACTTAACCTCTCTGTTTCTGTGTCTTTCAAACAAGGCCATTAAGACAGCCTGGTTCAGGGGGTGGCGGTAAGAACAAATGAGCTAACACGTGTAAAATGCCGAGAACAGTAACTGGTACAGTGAATGTTCTCAACTAAGCCACGATGATCATGATATGCCCCATACTTATTTCTTTGTGTAGGCCTTTGCTAACTAGATGCGGCTCCTTGCAGGCAAGGCTCGTGGTTTCTTTCGGCTCCCTGTGTCCAGTACAAGAGGCACCCTGGCCCAGAGCAGACCTCAGCTGGGTGTCGAATGGATCTGCTGGGCTGCCCTCCACTGTCCCGGAATCCAGCTCTCCTAGGTCACGCCCTGGCCCACCTCATGAACTGAATTAACTCATGTTCCTGGGCTAGATTATCTTGTTACTTCTTTTAGTTTTGTTTTTATGTCACAGTGTGGCTGCTCATCTCACGAAGTCTCGTATTTCACTCCATTTGAGAGCCCAAAGGGCAGCCGGAGATTAATAAGCACAACTCTTTCACTGTTCAGACGAAAAACCTGAGCCCAAGAGTTTGAGTGCTTCCTCCATGTAAGGTAACCCACGACACAACCAGTACTAAGACCCAGCTGTCACCCACTATGGTGTTGATGCCGCAGCTGTGGCCAGTGCAGTTTTATTGATTTATTTAACACAAATCTGATCGTTATCACCCTCTACCGAATGAATTCCTGAATACTGCACAACCTCGCCCCAGCAGGGTACACTGGTCCTCCAAACCTCCAAACCCAGGTGCTCTTCTGCTCATGGGGCCTTCACCTCACTGTTCCCTCTACCTGGAACCCCTGCCTATGGGGCCCCCAACTCAAACCCAGGTGGGAAGGCCTACACGATTCCACAGCAGAGTTTTTTCTTCCAATCCATGCTGTCTTCACATGACAACTATTACTACCCCAAACAGTAATTTCTACTCTCTAACCCTTCAAGAGGTAACCTCTGATTTCCCCTAGCCCTTCTCTCTCTCTTTTTTTAATCTTCCTATGTATTTCCGAGGCCCAACCAATACATACGTGACGGGCACATCCTTGTACTGTGGTTGCTGCGGCACATTACTTCCTTCCAGAGGAATCTGAGTTACTGTAGGCATGGACTTATTTACCAGCACTTGTTTGTTTTCTACCTTCTCACCTAAGAAAAAGAGAAGGGGATTATAGCCCAATCGTTATCATCACTGCAGAATACAAGCATTACTGGGGCATACAATTATGTGATTAGATTGGTCCATGAAATGCACACAAGGAAGGAAAAAGCCGATACAGTGTGAGCTATAGTTCAATGGGACTCGTCTATAATTGTGCCAGCCCATCTGAAAAATCAGATTAGTGCAGAGTATAAAAAAATCAAGAAACTGATTTAGGGAACCATACTAACAATAGAAACTTCAGGTCAATAAGTGGCAATTTATTTTTTAAAGATTTTATTTATTCATTTATTTTAGAGAGAGAGCGCACATGCACATACAAGTGCGGGGAAGGGCGGGGGGGAGGGGGAGAGAGAATCTCGAGCAGACTCCACGCTGAGCACAGAGCCTGACATGGGCTTGATCTCACGACCCTGAGATCATGACCTGAGCCAAAACCAAGAGTCAGACACTCAACCGACTGAGCCACCAGGTGCCCCAGTAAGTGGCAGTTTTATGGATCTCTTATGGAGTATTAGAACGAGTCTGGGCCACTTACTTTTATTAATAGTTATTTCAACCAATATTAAGTCACTGCCAACTTAACTTGAACAATGAGGAAGTCAAAACATTTCTTTGATTTTCTTGCTATTCTCACCTGTCTTTGCATCTTTTCCTGGTAAGCTCAAGGCCAACTACTCTAGGACTGTCATAGCACTATCTTCCCAGCCACATAACCCAGGTTAAGAGTGAGAGAAATTCTGCAAGAAACAAACGCAGCAGGGCAGAGAGGAAGCTGTGCACCACGTGGATTGTGGGCACCCCAGCAGATGCAGCGCTCACCATCCGTGCACCATCCTGACAAGTCACGTGGATCTCCCCTCCCGGCGTCCTCCCCGACACAGCCCCTCTCTCCACCTCCCTGCTGCTCCCATCACCTGCTCTGCTGCCAGAACTCTCCGTTGATCTCACCTGCTTTGGCCCCTTTCTACTCTTTTCTCCACACTGTGATCAGAATGATCATGTCAAAATGGGTATCTGATCATAATGAAAATAGTAGCATGGCTGCAAGGCCTTCTGTCTGGGCCCTGCCCCTTCCTCTCTTTCTCTCTCTAGACTCACGTTTAGCACCCTCCCCTGTACTCTCCCCATGAGCCACACTCCCACTGGCCTCCTTTGGGAAGTTTTGACTATCAAGTCCTGCAGCTTAATAGTTACACAAGCCCTGCAGCTTAATAGTTACACAAGCCCTTCCCACTGCTCAGAACACATTCCCCTCCCCATTCACTAGGTAACTCCACTCATCCTCCAGATCTCAGCTCACTTCCTTAGGGAAGGCTACCCGGAGCTTCCTGCCTAGGTCAGATCCTCTTGCTATCAAATGTCCTCATAGCTCTTTATAGGATTCCTTAATCTGGTTGTGATTGGACATAGGTTTACACGTGATCCTTTGGTCAATGTTAGTCTCCTCCACTGGCCTATAAGACTCATAAGGGCAGCTGTTATGGGCTGCATCAGCAAAATTCATTACAAGTTTGTAATTATAATGGAGTCACACTTTTTAGGGGAAGAAGATTCTAATAAAGTCAGTCTAAGCTAAATGCACAAATGATGACATGCCAGTGTAAATGTAGGGACACGGCCTTATTCTAAACAATTCCTTAAAGTGGCTCTTCTGCGATTCAAAATTTTAGGTAGAAAAGTATAACTAGGATGGATTACTACTATGTAGAAATATATGTACAGAAAAACAGACTGGAAGGGAAATTCATCAAAAAGGACCACACTGGGGTGCCTGGGTGGCTCAGTCGGTTGAGCGTCTGAGTCTTGATTTCGGCTCAGGTCATGATCTCAGGGTCATGGGATCGAGCCTGTGTCGGGCTCCATGCTCAGTGGGGAGTCTGCTTGAGATGCTTTCCCTCTCCCTCTGCTCCTCCCCCTGCTTGCGTGCTCTCTCTCTAAAATTTAAAAAAACAAACAAAAAACACCTTAAAAAAAATGACCACACTGAATTAGGAAGGTGGTTTTGTAAGGTATCCTTTTTCTTCTCTGTTTACCAAATATTCAGAAATATTGCTGAGTAACTTTCATATTTCAAAAAGTATACATATAAACGGTTTTTTTAAAAAGGCCCTTACCTGGAGAACAAATACCATCCGCATCTAAAATTTCGTGTCGCCAGATGGGTTTCCTTGTGGCAGCGTCCAACATCGGCCCCATCACTTTATCAAAGGTCTGATTGGTATAGCGTTTCAATGTACATTTAGCATTTTTATATACAAGACAACGCCCAAAGCCTAAAATGAAACCCAAATGGGGATCAGAACCACCAATAGGACTATGAGAAAACATGGATTTGTGTCAGTCAACACCTGCACCCCCAAACATGTTCTACATTTGGATAATCGGGGATGGGCCAAATAACGATCTGATAATCTGAAGAACTGGCTCAGGGCTCCCCCCCAACCCCCAACTGTCCATATAAACGCTGGCGTCTCTACAACCATGTGTCAGCATGGAACATACCCTGCCACGTTGGAGGAAGGCAAGAGAAATCAGAGTGTCAATGTGATTCTTTCGGAGAACAGAGCCACAGAATGCAGGAACTGGAAAGGTCCCCAGGGACCACCTGGCTTACCCCCCTCTATCTACAGGTACTGCGAATGCTACAAAATGAAGTCCAGGGAAGTGATGTGGCCAAGATCACCCAGCAAGTTGGTGGCACAGTTGAAACATGCCAAGTCCACCGATCAGCCACGATTCTTCCTACACATTCTTCTGGTGCATCACTTCTGCTAACCTTCTCTGAAAAGTTTTCCTGTTTCTAATTTTGGCATTCAGAGGAAGTCCCAAACAAGGAAACAAAAGATTATTTTTTCTCCACAGAGGAGACAGAATGAAAAGCAGCTGCAATCAAATGATTTTAAGGGGAGAAATCGTTTGCCTGTGCCCTAAAGATCAGAGTTTATTCTGATTATATTTTTAGATCACATTTGTCTAGTGGATGAGGGAAAAGTCCTGAGACCAACTAACAAGCTAAATAAACATTATGAAAGATCAGCAAAATGAACAGAAGGAAACCTTTAGACGGAGCAAAAACTTCCAGCACTGAATCCCACAAGAAGATTCATCAGTTATAGAGTTGCCCAGAAGAGCTGTCAACCCTTCAGCACTAAATACCATTTCCCAAGATTCTGTGACTGCATGTCTTTCTTTTTTCCTTTTTCTCTCTTTGGCCAAGCAGTTATTCTAAGCTGGATTCTCTCTAATCTCCCCAGGATATACTGAGCCATGTCAGAGTTCGCTGCAATAGGAAAATGTCTCGGGAATAAACCCCAGCTATTACTGATGAGATAAATGCATGGTTGTAAAGTCCTTCACTTACGGTTCTCCACCAAAGGCAGAACTCGTACAAGAAATCTAAGAATGTGAGTTTAGAAAATCAGGAAAAAGATTTCTAAATAAAATCTTGGTGCTCTAATGTAATTTTTAAAATACGAAGGTGACAGTAAGACAAAATAACCAATTTCTACATCTAGGTGTGGCTCCTAGTCAATTGCATATGACCATAATAAAGTCTGAGCCCAAAGCCAGCTGCTTTGGAAACGTTACATGATCTTGAAATTCTGTACAATGGCCATTAACTGCAGCGTGCTGGAGCGCAGGGAGAATCTGGACTGCCTGAAATCAAGAAGTGTTTTCCCCTAAGTGTAAATGGACATTGTATTTACAGGTGATAGCTGAAAAGCTGGAGGACGGTAAACTCAGATCATTAAACTGTGTTGTGCAGTTTCTGACAGCTATCACAAAGTCTTCAGATTTCCACGTAAACGTTACCAGTTAATCAGAAAGGAAAACATCTAGTTTTAAAGCATGGCTGTTGTCATTTGGAGGAAAAAAAGAGGCATAAATTAAGTGCAGCCAACATTAATGCCAAAGACACATGTCTAGGAGTACTATTATGGCTGCCTAGCAACTACAAAGAGTGAAGGGGAAGGCAGAGTGGGCATGCCAGGGAGGAAAAAGAGAAACAGAGATTATGAAGAGAGGAGTCAGGCTTCAGGTCAGGTGACGGGTCCAAACCATGAAGTGGTGACTTGCAAAAGTAAACTGTCAAAAAACGGACAAAGGGTTGCGTAAAAACTCTAAGCATTTGTGTGAGTTTTTAACTTTCGGCATTCTGCTAACAAAAAGGTATGAACATTACGGGGTTGAGACATACAATTTTTAAAAATCCCCTTTAACACAGAAATACTGCTACTGCCTTCTCAGTCTGTTGCTGAATATATAACTAGCCAGATTCAAAGACCATATTTCATTTATTAGAATTCCTGCTAGGAGATAAATTCTTGCATGTTTTCTGTTGAGGAACTATCTCACGTCACCAATAAACTAAAATAACAAAGAAAAAAAAAACATTTAGTAGTTCATTTAATAAATTACCTCTACATAACATTCATAAAAAACGTCAACGCCAAAACCTAACCGCCTCCTGTTTGTATGTTATAAAATTCAAATCCCTTGAAACCAACGTTAGCATTTTGACACCAGATGATTTTTAGCTGATTGTCCTCGTACCTAATTCTGCACGGAGCGCCCATGGTGTCAGAGGTCTGAAAACCCACTTACCCCTGTCCAAGGAGGCCTTGTTTAAAATGAGGGCATCTTCAATATCATAGCCACTGTAACTCATCACGGCAACCGTTGCATTCTGTCCAGCGGGCAGTTTCTCAAATTCTATCAACTCAATGGTCTTTGTTTTAACCATGGGTTTTTGTGGGTATGCTAGCAGATACATGAGAGTATCGATTCTGTTCCGCTGGTTGTATCCAATGGTACCTTCATTGATATTGGAGAAAGCAAAATGCAACATTCTATTATGTCAAATAATTAGGTAGCCACGACTTACAGAGATGGAAAAAAAAAAACACCCCACATTATTTTCACTAATTAACATGAAGAAAACCCTCAGGTTAAACATTTCAAAAGCAATACTCTGACAGTTCCTACCAACATTTAAAAGCATTTTTTTCTCGGTAATGTTAAAAGTTCTATAAAGAAGAAAAATCACACCCAAGGTATTCTAACCTAAGTAACTTCAACCTACTGGATTTATACAATTGACCCCGTTTTAGGAATTACCAGTCTTCCCTGGTTAATTTCACAGGTAAGCCAACAATTCTGTACTCAGTTCTACTATGTTGCGGACCCATTTCCAGCTGTTACGGGAAGGTAATTAGAAACCACGCCCAGTGCTGACAGGCAAGGAGCTTTTAGAGTAGGACAGATATATTCCATAAAAAAAAACAACCATTACAAAAGTTCTAAATAAAAAAGAAAGCAGGAGAAAAGGAAGGATAAGAAAGGAAGGAAGGAAAAGGAGGAAAGTGAAAGCAGAGGAGTGGATTTACTCATCTGCTTAACTTTTCATTTACGAAGTAGTGAATAAACACCTACTCTGTGCCCAACACCAGAGATAAAATGGGGAAAGGCACAGTCCTTTCCCGTAAGGAATCCAGGGTCCTGTTCAATCTGGTACAGGCTTTTAGGTCCTTAGCAATCAGGCTTTCCACCTCTTTGCACCTTGGAAGGCTGTTACCATCAACTGGAAGTGAAATCAGAATGTTACCCTTTCTCCCTTTTCCCCAAAGGGATTCACTAGGGTTCACAGACTTGCACCAAAAAAAGGGTTTCACTCTCCTGGTCCTGTAAATACAATACACTCTCCTACTCAGAGACTTTAGAATGCGGACTCATGTTTGCCCTACTACTAAACTTATGTGTGGGCTACTGAACCTCTTTAACTTCTCCCAGGCATCTCTTCTTTTCCCTTGAGTGGCTAAGAAGGTAGCCTTTAGTCTCTTTTTCTCTTGCACATGCTTCCATAGTGATACATCCTCAACACCCACACACCCCAAGATGCTTTAGTGTTGTTTGATGGAGTTAAGCTCTAAGATGAGCAGATACCCAAAGTCAGTATTTATTTCCTTCACCTCTCATATTCATGTCATGAAATCAATGGTGATTTCAATTTGGGGATGAAAATAACCTATTCAGGCAGCAAAAATGATATGGTACTCCTTGACAATTACTATTGAAAGAAAAAATGAAATCTGTAGGGTATGAACACTTAGTATAGTGGGGGGCCCACTACAGATGCTCAATAAATGTCAGTAAATGAAACTGAATTGCATTATACTTTTTATGACAGTATATGTTTGTACTTAAATCTCAGCAAATTTATCATGAACTTTTTCTTGAGTTTACACTATAATATACTGCCAATTAATTTATGTTATTTTGGTGCCAACTAATAAACTGGGCAGGACCATCTGGTAACAGATCACTTACTGTTTTAGAAATAAAATCACCGTTGCCTGGATCGTGATAAAGTTCACTGACAATAAGTTTGTCCTTCTATATGAAATCATTTAAAATTTATGTCAAGATTTTATCTCCAATTGTATACTTCACCCAGCTTGAGACAAGGGTTCAGGCAATGTTCCACCAGGCTGCCAAACACGGCTTCTGAAACCTGAGACAAGCATTATTATGCAGCAGGGAAGCATTCATGGCTGCACCTCTGAACAATGGTGAAAGAGACTGGATCCCGCTATAAATTGTGCTACCAGGCCTAGAACGCAATTCTCGGGCATCACAACTGACCTGACCACTGAATGGATGAACAACAAAATGGTCCAGCAAATGTTTGGTGCTCATGATCTCATTAGAAATTTTCTTCAAAGACTTTTTAAAGAACTCGTAGGAGTACACATGGATACAGGTTTTTAGCAGTCTTGACAGGTGTGTTGGTGAAAACATGATTTTTAAGCCATGACTTCTCTATTACAAAACTTCAAAATGCTATCACACCCCATATTTTTATAAAAATCCTGAATGACTATTTTGCCAATAAGCAGGCTTTTTTTGAGAAAATGTCATGAGGAAATTAAAAGACTAGTCTGGGTGAAGCACGTGCTCAAACTAGGATGCCTCTTACTATTTTCAGCTTCCTTAAAAAGGGCATTGCACATACGTAATAACTAACGCGATGAGAGTATCTGTAAGCAGGGCTCTCCCTCCACTGTCCAATTTTGCTCTAACTGCAGTCTTCAGTGTTATAACTACTGACTCATTTCCTTACTACCCGGGACATGATCTTTCTTACAAAATCATATTTTCTTGATCATAACTTTCTTAAAAAGCCACAGGATGGCACAGCAAGGTATGTCCACGTAGGTTAAAAGAGTGAGGAATTTTTTTATTTTAAGGTAGGATGAAAAAAGGTTAGTAAGCATACATACAGCTTAGGGATAGCTTAGGAAATGTATACTGAAAAAAGAAGACGAAGTTTTATGCATTTAACTATTCTTTCTGTCTTCCTTTGCCCAATTTTTTTTTAATTTAATAACATTATTAAATACAATAAACTTCACCCATTTAAAGTGTACATATTGATGAGCTCTGACAGATTCCTTCCTTCATAAAACCACCACCACAATCAAGATCCAGAACATTTCCGACACTCCCAAAAGATCCCTCCCTCTGTTCCTGACCCCAGGCAACCACAGCTCTGTTTATCGTTACAGTTTGCATTTTCTAGAACTTTATATAAATGGGACCCTGCAGTATGGACTCTTGTGCCGCTTTTTTCATTCAGCATAACGCTTCTGAGATCCATCCAGGTGGTTGTATCGTAGTTCATTCTTTGCTGTTGCCGAGAACTATTGCACCACATGTTTATACGGTTTGTTTACCCATTCACCTGCTGATGGATATTTGAATTGTTTCGTTTGGGGCGCTTGTGAATAAAGCTGCTATGAACATTCACTCATAAGACTGTGTGTGTTCACTTCTCTTGGGTAAATACACAGGATTGGAATTTCTGGGTGGTTTGGTAAGGGTACAGTTGACCTAAAAAACTGCTTAAGAATTTTCCAAAGTAGTATACCTTTTACGTTTGTGCCAGCAGTGAATGTGCTTTTTAGCTGCTCCATCTCCTCACTGACAGTATGTCCACCTTTTCCATTTTAGTTGTTCTATCGAGCAGGTGGTGGTATCTCAGTTTTAATTTACATTTACCTGACTAGTAACATTGAACAGAGTTTCTTGAGCTTACTGGTCATTCTTATTACTCTTTGTGAAGTGTCTGGTTTTGATTTTTGCCATCTTTAAACAGAGTAGTCTTATCATGGAAGAGTTCTTTATATGTACCAGACTCAAATCCTTTATCAGATGTATATATTGCCAATACTTGCTCCCATTCTGTGGATTAAGGTCTTTCATATTCTTAATAGTGTCTTTCGAAGGGTATAAGTTTAATTTTGAGAAAGTCTAAATTATTAATTTTTTTTTTCCTTTTTCATAGCCTGTGCTTTTTGAGTCCTAAGAAATCTTACTTAGGTCACTCAAGGTCATGAAGACTTTTGCCTATGTTTCTTTCTACACATTTTATGGGTTTAGCTCTTACATTCTGAGTATGATTCATTTAGTGTTAGTTTTTTGTATGGTTATGAGGTAGGAGTTGATGCTCATTTCTATACAGATACACATATATACATTTTATTTTGTTGAAGAGATTTTCCTTTCCCCTGGAAATGTCCTGACACACTCATTGAAAATTTAATGCCCACAGAAATGTGGGTCTCTTTCTGGATTCCTGATTCTGTTCCACTGATCTACATATCTACCCTTATGTCAGTATCATACTGTCTTCGTTACAGTCTTTATAGTAAATCTTAAAATCAAGTTGTATTAAGCTTTCCAACTTAGTTCTTTTCAAAAATATGCACCTGATTTCTTAACAACTTTAATGTGCCCAGAGATGATTAATTTGTTGTTGAAACATTAAGTACTTTACTGAACCTATTGAACTAACACTCTGCTAGGCACCAAGGACACAGTAATAAATAACACAGACCTAGTCCTGTCCTCAAAGTGCTTATATTCTACAGTCTAGCAGGGAAGGCACGCGATTTTTAGCTGCTCCACATCCTCACTGACACTTAGTAGGTCTTGATCCACAGTGAGAGAGAAAAAGTGAGGAAAAAAGTTATTTTCCATTGAGAAGAATTTTAAGTTTTATAGATAGTCACATTATGCCTTGCACAGAAGACAGAATGTAACCTTTTTTAAGTTACTCAACCAAAGTGAGATTCCATCTCCTTGTCAGAAACAAAAAAGGTACGTATTCTAGGACAGGGTTATTGTGATGATTAAAAGAAATTTGTATAAATCATTTGAGCAGTCAATAAGTGGCAACATTAACAATACTATTAACGACTGTTAGTAGTAACAAACATACACCCCTTGGCCTTGCACTATATATAACTCATTCTGCCCCCAGTTCAAACCCTACATACTGAACTACAGTGTAATTTTATCTCCATAAATATTCATTATTAACTTTCTAGTCTCAGGAAATGTCATATCATCTTACATCTGAAATAGCTACAATGATTTTAAATTTTTTTTTTTGAACCAACAGTGAAATTCTAAAATATAATTGCCAGGGATAATTTGGCCAACACATCTTTTCATTTTGTATCTACCAAAAGGATAAAGAATAAATCTTCTAAAAAAAAAATTCAAACAAAGTTGAATGAAATGGAAGATGTAGAATGAAACAAAATTTTATGAGGATCTTTGTATATTATGTGTTTTTAAGATCTCAAAATCTTCTAGGCTATTTCCAGAACATCCCATCCTATTATAAAGTAGGGAATACAACAGAAGGAACTACCTGCTTTGGAACAGAATCTATTGAAAACAAAAACAGGAACAGAAGCTGTATTAGCTCCTGAGCTTAAAAAAACAAAGTCCCAGCAATTTGGAGGTGAAGGCGGGTTGGGAAGAGGCCGTGGCTAGGGGAGGTATGTGATACATATTCATTAACTGAGCTGATAGTGACTGAAAGATCCTTTTAACCAGGAGAAAGTGTTCCACTAGAGGACTGCCAACTAATAAAATGGACAGGATATGAAAGCATGACTCATGCGGACTTGGCGTCTGGTGCCAGGGAGCACATACAATGCAGCTCCAATACACAGCTTTTACTCGCAGTGCTGAGTGACCTGGAGACCTAGCCATTTCCATCCACGTCTACCTGGCTTCTTGCTCTGGACCTTGTCACAACACAGCTGTACCCATCGAAGGTTAGGTGTTTCTCAGTAGCACAGTAAGACAGAACGCAGAAACCTGCACTTTATTAATCAGATTTAAGAAACACCTCTGCTGGTGTTTCATGTTTACTAAAGTGCGCTCTCTCTTATGAAAGGTGAGGCTCTCAGTCTCTGCGCTTTGCGCTCATCTTGGTCTCCTTTGTAGGGATAGAAAAACGACTTTCTCTCATTTCGTCACTCTTGACCGGGGGCGGACGGTGGGTCGTGAAAAGTAGAGAGCAAATCTTCCAGGCTGGCAAGAATGTGTAGTGCTTTAATTCTGGGCTACTGTCTTCCACTTTCCAAATGGACTAATGGATGAACAGCAACTAAAATATTACTTCTGGCCATTCATACAGAATCTCTGAGAGGTAAATAGTCTTCAGCAATGGCTCATACTTAAAATGGGATAGCGTGCCTTTTAGTTACCAGCTGCCAAGACTGCAAGGAATTAAAATGACTCAGAGAAGTCCAACTCAAAGTGCTAGGTCTGCTTTACAGACCTGGGTTTCTGCTGTGGGTTTTCTCCCTCTGCCGGCCTTGTTCCTTTTGTGATTTTTCATACAGACCTCGCTCGGTACTTCTGCGGCTATTTGAGTGTCCAAAGAGAAACGTGGTCATGTAATGTGCCAACTTTGAATGTACTTTTATCTCGATGCTTTTCTTTCCAGTCAGGTGTTTTATAATAACAAACAGTAACAAAGCCTTTTTTTTATTACTTAAGATATTCAGTGGCTTTTGTCTTCCTAGCGTCAGCAGTAACGTCAGAGGATTGTATCCAAGGAGCTAAATGTGCAGGACCCAGGGTCAGAGCAGCTGAATACACCAACCTCAGAAAACACAGACAATGAATTGCAAATGACACTCAAAACAAAACGAGAAAAAAAACCTTCACACAGAAAACTACAAAAGAACTCTACAGACACTGAATTGGCTTTCTGTACACACTGATCCTGCTTAACTGTGTGTGGTAACTAACCAAACGTTTCAGATACTCATGGTCACAAAATAAAGGCTTTTTTTTGTAGGCAGAGGAATTATAAAAATAAAAATATTATTTCTTTCCTTCAAGTCACTTATTTAAAAAAAAAAAAAAAGAAGATTCACCAAGTGGAGATAGATTCGTAGCCCTTTCTGTTTTAATCTTCAAACACAACCAAAGAGTAGCATTAGCGATGAAGTGATTAGTCTTCCGTTAATTCTGCTGAAGGTTCTACACAAAAGGTATATTGTTTCAGCCAGGATTCACATCATGAAACAAAATGGTTTGGTAAACCCAATAGAAGTGATAGTCCTTTCATGACACATAGGATTCAGTACTGTATATTTCAACTTGTTAGCAAGTCACAAGCACACGCGGGAAATCAGCCCACACTGCTGCTGAGGATGAATGGGAAAGGGGAAATTGATGAGCCACTGTTTAGATTTTCCCACTGGGAATTATTCTGAACTGTCCAGGCATTACATCATTCAGGTAAATGGTTGCAGGACATGTTTTGCCAACCAAGAGGGCAATATAAAAACTCGAAAAGAAATTGTCAAGCTATGGTCAATTACAGCTGATTGCTGGTAACGGAGAAGCTAAATGCATTCTGGATGTTACCCAAAGGCAATTCAAAAACCTTTTGGTTTCTTCATGAAGCTCCCTGTAGCATACTTTAAACCAGAAATGACAAGTCATACTGATATCATAGACATATATGAAAATAAGTTAAACTTACTAGGACTTAAATGATTTTTAAAAACATTTCAAAAAAAGTTTATAAGTAAAACTTTTTTTTGGGGGGGGGGTTGGTATCCTCTCTGTATCACCTTCCAGATAAAACCCAAACTCCTTAATCTATGGCACCTCTCCAGTACACACTATTCCTATATTATGTTAAACAGCCAGACCAAAGCACCAAGATCCCCATGCAATGCTTGCTTCTATTTCCACGCCTGTGAAAAATACTCAGGGACTTTCAAGACTCAGTTCAGTTCTATTCTTCAGAAACAACCTACTCTCTAACCTCAAGTGACCTCTCTGCTCTCCTTCCCTAAGATTCTAGCTGTCGGTCCACGACAGCATTTATCAAACACATTCCAGTTACGGTTGTACTTGTTGGGCTCTCCCACTAGACTGTGAACTCCTTGAGGACAGGGCTCTTTCTCTTCCCTCCATTTTCAGGGGCCAGCCCACCATCTGGTCTATCCGAGATGCTCAGCAAGTGCTAGGGATGGATAAAAGCTAAAAGAGAAGGAAGGAAGGAAAAGGAATTCGGAAACTGGTTGACATGTTTCAGAAGCTACAGGAGCAAATGCAAGGATGTGATGTGTTCAATGACTGTCACCCAGACCATTACGATCACCTTCTAATACACACTGTGCATCTGCAGCTCTATTCCTTTTCCCGCTCTTCCCTCAAACTTGTGTTTTTCTGCGCTTTCTTCCATTTCTCCTGGTTCACAATTTACACTTTATAGAGCTTTTCTCTTTCTATTTACCCCCTCATCATTCTGTGACATTTATTATATATCCCCTTGTTTGGTCAAAGAAATAAGTTCAGAGAGGTTTCCTCTATTTTTGTTGACACTGTAGACATGTCAGGGGCACCCGCAAGCCCTCTGAGGTTAGTAACACTCAGGTACCAGCAATGCCTGACTTAGCCAAACATTCAATACTAGTGAAGTAAGAATAAAGATTGAAGTCTTTTATCCAAGAATTTAGAACCAAGTTCAAGAAGGAAATCTTACCCATGGCTTGTTTTCCCATGGCACACTGATACGTGTTTCTTGGGGACTGGTTATGATGAGGGTATGGGATGAGGCCAGCACAAACACCAAGAAGAGTGAAGGGCTCAATCTCCAAGTGGGTGGTATCTCTGTCAAGTCAATTAAGAACAGACATCTTAGACACCAAGGACCAGAATAAATCCCTCTTAAAGGTAGTAAAAAAATATTACAACCAAGGTCCCCAAAGGATGTAAATAAAATATACATTTTTATATAAATTTATATAAAAATTTATATAAAGTATATGTAATTTATATAAAACCTCAAGAACAATAAAACTTGATGCTAGTAAAACTGATAAAAAGACATACTTAAATAAAATATAGTAAAACAAATTGTTTCCTTCAGTGATAGAAACTTATTACTTATAGAAATACAAGAGAAGGGATAGTATAGAATGCCCAGGTAAAAAAATAAAACATTATTACATACTAACAACAATAACTAATACTTGTAAAGAAATTACTGGGCTATATCCAAATGCAGTACTGATGGATGAGTGGGCTGCCTTTTCCTCACTTTTCCAACTTGTATCAATGACAAAGTTGCATTACCATTTTAGAGAAGAATATATCCCATTTAAGAATAGTTACCATAGACCTAAGGGGAGCAATACCATAGCCACCAGCTAAATGCGGCTGTTCAGCACCCTTCACTTAGATTAGCATGCTTGAGGAACTGCATTTTTAATTTTACTTAATTACATTTTAAAACTCAAATAACTCAGTTGTTATTCAAAACCTTTATGTTTGTCACAACTTACACTTGTGAATTTACTTTTTCAACTGTAAATGTTATGATCAGATCAGGTATTTCCAGTAAACATTTAGCCTCCAAACTGAGATGTGCTTTGAAGCCGTATAGGGGGAAAAAAAACTCAATATTTTTATATTGATTGCATAAAGACATGACAATATTTTAGATAGAGTGGGTTAAATAAAATTATTAAGATTAACTTCATCTGGTTCTTTTTTCTTTTTTCAGTTGGCTACTGGGAAACTTATGCATGGTATTTTTCTTGGACTGCTCAGCTATAGGAACTGGATATAAAGTAAGACTTTATCTAGTAGGTGTTAGAATCTTGGCTGCTTTTTTTTTTTTTTTTCTTGGCTGCTTTTGTAATATATTTTTGTAAAAATCCCTGTTTTGGCTAACTGACACAGTAACTCAGGTATTTTAAAGGGAAAGGGAAGCCAGACTGTTTCTGGATCTTGCTGGAAGTAACAGACATTACATGCAGGGTCTGTGGACTCTGTTGACCCTTTATTCCTTCCTCAAGTACTTGTGAGGCAGAGCTCCAGTAATTTCAATGGTTTACAGTACCCGTGAAGACAAGTGATTTCCAAGATAACCCAACCCATCGAGGAAAATTAGTTGCAATACACATGGCAAAAGATCTCCCACTAATCCATTGGGCTTTTTTTTTTTCTTTTCAATACACACGTGAATTATGTCCCTAGTTTGGTTAAAGAGGATGCTTTCCATGCAGCTCTTGGTTTGAAGAACATAGTTTTGACCTCATGACCTAGCAGAACCCCAACTCTCTCAGACATGTTAAGTCTTTGTCAGCAGAGAGGGAAAGGGCCCTAGGTTTTTTTTTTGTTTTTTTTTTAAGAGAAACAGCTTATGGTGACATTTTATGTCCTAGAGTAAAACAGATTTTTAAATGTACTGTTTTGTTTAAATATTGGCCAATTTGACAATATAGGCCAATTTCCCCATGTAAATAAAAACTACTTTTCAGATGTACAGATTGAAGCAAGCTGAAAAATGAAGAAAGTACAGACCTAAGTTTCTTCTTTTTTTGTAACAAAAATATATAGAAGATCATGTTATCTAATAATTATTCAAAGTCTAAATGCTCTGGATTTTGATTTTTATGAAACAAAAAGGGATACTATTATTCAAAATTATAACCACCATAATCTTTTGTCCTGCAGGAAATAGAAGACTTTCTATTCAATGTGTATAAGGACCTTAAATTTAGCTCAAATTAAGACTCAGTAACCTGCTGTTTGCAACAGTGGAAAAATTGGAAAACACCCTAAATATTCATCAACAGGTTAAATCAACTATGTGTAGTCAGACAATGTAATATAAAGAAATTAAAGTAATATATTTATATAAACATACAAGCATACACTAATATAGAAAAGTGCCTAAAATGATAAAGTTGATAATGATGCTAAGTTTAAAAATGAAGATAATTTAAATATGTTGCCTTGAGATCACGTATGTATGTTTGTATTCACTTAGAAAAAAATCTAAAAGAGTATACATTAAACAACTGGCAATGATTGTATCTGGAGGCTGGAGTTTGGTGGGATAGGGAAAGAAGGGGATTAATTCTTTCTACTTCATACATGTCTACGCTGAAAAAAAATGTCACAAGTATGAATCACAGAATACCAAATTTTTCCTATCTTTAAAATAAGCTGAATTGATATATGGGTCAGCTTGGTGACTGGGTGCTACTGATACTAACTAATGGTTGCATTCCTATATTACAGTGAAAAAGACAGAAAAATCTCTGCTTTTGTGAAGCTTCTAGTGGAGAAATAATACACAGATAAATCAATAAAAGAGACATTTTATAGATTTTATTGTAAGGTAATAAGCCCTAGAAAAATAAAGCAGTGAAGAGGGGTGCCCAGAGGAGGGTTATCTATTCTTTTTTTTTTAAAGATTTTATTTATTTATTTGACAGAGAGAGACACAGCAAGAGAGGGAACACAAGCAGGGGGAGTGGGAGAGGGAGAA